GTTGGCGTAGCATCCATCGCTTTCCATGGGCTGAGCGTCAGACAGGGCTGTTTTGACAGTGAGCCCAGCCTACCATCTGCCCAGAATAGCCTGGATATTCTCTTGACTTAACAGATAGCCAGGAGGGCAGACCAAATGCTCCCTCAAGAGCAATCGACTCCTATTACTCTGATTGTTTGGTCACCATGGGATTAAAATATTAAAATGACTAATCCCCTAATATGGCAAAGGATCAAATGCATTGAATACCAAGTCCTCTTGGAATCAAGTAAGAGGAGTTCTTGTAAGATTTAGGTAAATACATATTTATATATAACCATCTGCCATCCAAATGAGAAACTAACTTCTAATGTTTAAGAAACAAAAGTTCTTATTTTCAGTCATCCATAATGTGCTCTTAGATACAAAGAACTCTACCAAACTCCCTAGAAGACCAGATAAAACTTGAAAGCAGGTGTCAAGGGCAGAGGCGTTTAGATGCCTGGCCCTGGCACTGGTGTTGCCTGCCTCTAGTTCTGACTTCCCTTCCAACACCCGCCTCCTGGGAAGCAACAGGTGAAGGCTCAGATAGTTGAGTTATTCCCAGGTGGGAGACCTGGACTGAGTTCTAGGTTCCCAACTTCAGCCTGGCTCAGCTCTCACTGTTGCAGGTATTTGGGGTGTAAACATGTGGATGGAAGATCACGATCTCTCTGCCTTTCACATAAACAAAACTAATTAAAAGACAAACAAACACAAAAAGATATAAAATAATGCTTAGCAGATTACACTAAGTTCAAGTTAAAACATTCGAACTTTTATGCTGTCAAGACTTCAGAATATGAACCAAAAAAACCAAAACATGACTAAACGCTCAATTCAATTATGTCAACAATATGTAAGGAAATGCTAAGATAAACAGTTACTGTTTTCAAAAGGCTAATAATGCATCAGTAGGTTACGAAAAAGCAAACATTCAGAATAGGATAAACATCATCTGATGGGTTCAAAGAGCACTGTTATGAATTTTAATGATGGAATGTGCATGCCTGCTTGTGGCACAGGATACACAGCAAAGATAACACCTATGTTTAGCCTAAAGGAGTAGAATTAAAAAATGGAAAATATAAAAACTTAAGTAACATATTCAGAGTTTATTTTTAGAAGGTAAAGTGGAATGTAAGGTAGATGATGAAAAATACCAGCCTTGGGGTGAAGGATTGGCACAGCAGCCTAAGTCCCTGCTTGGAACACTGGCTTGGGATGCCAGCATCTAGCTTCCTGCTGATAAGTGTCCAGGAAGGCCACGGGTGACAGCCCAACTACCTGGATTCCTGCACCCGTGCGGGACAGATAAGTGAAGTTTTAGGCTCCTGGTGTTAGCCTGTCCATGTCCTACCCAGGTGTGGGATTTTGGGGGGTGAACCAGAAGATGGAAGCTCTCTCTGTCTTTCAGTCTCTCTGACTTCCAAATGAAATGAAAAATAAATTAAAAATATAATAGCCCTATTCTTTTCCTCCTCAGATACATTTTCCCCAGACACACTCCCTTTTAATTGTTGTTTCTGCTATTTATTTCCATATAGCTTATAAGCACTGAATGCACTATTTCCAAATTATCTCATTTAATATTTAATGGTTGACTTCCTATCCTGGATGCTAAACGGCTACCTTATACTGCTGTCTTAATCCCCTTCATGTTCCTGCCATCACTTCTTACTTTAAGACATTCTTCTCAATGCAAACTCTGTCCTTTGTGACTATATCTACAGTGATAAATCTGTGCTCTATTTTATGCATCTGTTTACCCTATGAGACTGCATTATTCTCATCTTTGTATACTACATATACAAATCGGTACCTGATCCTTTAACTCAGGATCGCCGAATAAAACTGACTGTAATGTGCCAGGGCAAAATTTTGGAAGGTTCCATCTGTAGACAGCCACCCCATACCATGGGCTCAGGTAGCTGACTGACATCACCATGGTTAGTATGACATGAGTAACTCAGAAATCACTTGTTACAAAAGCATTTACAGACAAGCCGTCAAATTTGACATTATTTTGAGCCATCAGCTGGCAGTAAGCTGCTCTGGCCTAATCCTCAATATTCTAAATTGTGGTATCCATCACTTCCCCTTGGAACCATTAAAAAGCTATGAAAACAAGCAAACAAACCAAATCCACTCGGTTATTTGAAAATTGAATTCAGAGGCTCAGATATAAACTTTTACCTACAGGGAAAACCAGGGAGTTGTTTCACAAAATTCTACAGGAAGCCAATCTACAGTCATGCCAGTAAATAATTTGGATCTTGATGGTGTGTGGAGAGGAACAGCACCCAACCCACTGCTTTGCTTCACAGCCCAGGATAATTCGGCCCTGCTCCTTGCAAAGCAAAGCTCTAGCAAGCCATAATGCTACTTGAGAATATGAAATGGCATTGCTTAAACCTGGGATTTATTACATCTTTATTCACTTTCTACCCTTTAAACCCAGTAAGAGGCTTATGAAGTGCTTACTCAACGGAATGAACTATCTGGTAACCAAAATATGACACTTATCTATTTGCTTAAAACACTTCCATGTTTTTTCTGTGTAGTGATGTTAAAAACTTTTAACTCTGAACCAGATTCAGACTCACAGGAAAACTGTAAAAGTGGTAAGAAAAATAAAAATCACACTTACACTTAACTGAGACTTCCCAAGTATTACTGCTCCCCACATCTGCGGTGCTGCCACATCAGGCCTCCCACTGTGACCCACAGAACCAGTGCCCTATCACAGGCCTTAGGCCACCAACCCCCAGTTCTTGGGGTTCAGACTGTACCAGGACTTGGCACACTGGCTTCCGTGACTACAGGGCTGCTGGGCAGGACAGGACTGCAGCAGCACACCGGGCCTTCCCGGGCTCTCTGCTGGCAGGCTGCAGATCAAGGGACTTCCAGGCATCCATGTCTCATGAAGCAGTCAACAAGCCCCTCTTATCCATTTACACACATAACCTATTAGTCCCGCTTTTCTGGAGAATCTGACTTAACTGCCATAACAACATATAAATATTCCTTTCATGTGTAACTTATAAATATTTTAAAAGAAATTAAGTATATCTTCCAGCACAGGATGACACTTTGTTTTAAATTATGAGAAAAAAAATAATACAAACTATAGATAAATAAAATGCTCTCATCCAGAAAAGACCAAGAAAATACAAAACAGGGCCAAATATCATTTCTGATTCATTAACAGCAAATATTGGTGAGGCTGCAGCAAAAATTAATATACAAATTGTTGCAGATTATTTAGATCTCCAACTTCATTATAGAAATACAAACCCAAATCCAACTAAGACCACATAGTAAACACTTTTACATCGAATGGCATCAAACAAAAATGCTTTATTTTTTTTTTAAATAAAGGAAGAAAAAAACCTAACCTGGGTGGTAAATATTACTACCAACAAACAGAACTGAAGATTAAAGTGTAAGTTTCCATTTCCAACAGGCAACTGAATAGTGACTGATGGCAACAACTCCAGCCTCTCCATGGAAAAGCAGGACACAGAGGTACAGAAACAGACCAGAAGAGAGGGTAGAAAAGCAGGGGGGAATAATGAAGGAAATTATTAGACAGGAGAAGTAGGGGGAAATGAACAATAATTACAAGCAATGATGGGAAAAAGCCTTATCACGGGACAACGTTCCGTTGTGGGTGGGAAATGCCATGGTTGGCTCAAGCATCCTTGAAGGTGACTCACTCCCAGCAAAGCCCCCTGGGGGGAGTTGAGACGAGTAAATCCCTACACACAGATCATTAGTATCCAAGAGAGTCCCACATGTACCAGTACCATTCAGTTACTCACAGTTATTGGGATCAAGCTAGCCTTTATCTTAATCACTCTATTCTACTCTTACATCAAAAAATATTAAGAGTTAATTCTCTTAAAAACACTTTAAATTATGGATAAAATCCTAGAATATAAAAATCTAAACAATTTATGTAATTTGAGTGTTTCAATATCCTAGATTCAAAATGAAAAAAATTTGTTTAATATCTATTAAATGGGATTTATTTTAAATGTGACATTACTAAATTTTTAAAGCTACCAGATGAAAATGCTTTTTGTTGTAATTATTCAAGTTGCAAATTCTAAATTCTGTGAGTAACTTTTCTTTCAACTGACTTTAACTGAAGAATTAATACATTCAAACCATATAAAGGAATTTTTTTTTTTTGTATAATGAGAAGTAACAGCCCCTCCCCAGGGACAGCTTTTAGCAGACAGCTACTGCACTAAAGGCAAAGTGTGACTTTTGTGCAAGTCACATATTAGAAATAATTACTTTCAGAATTGTCAGCACTCACCAAGAACTCAAACCATAATATTTAAATTTTGTTTTACAGTTTTCCAGCTCTGCAGTCATATTTGTAAAACTCTTCTGACTTACACACAAGAAAACACACTGTCTATCTATTAGCACTATGTAATCTGAGTATTTCTATTGACTTCCATTGTAATTGTGGTCTTCCTGGGTTTACAAGCTTAGGGGCCACATTCACATGAAACATCTATCCAGAAATCTATACCAAAAAACAGTGATAGCATCGTCCATTCAATAAATGTTTTGGTTGTTACTTACATACATGATGTAAGCATATTAAAACATTAAAAATCTTAAATGGAAGTTAGATATCTAAATTACCAACTTAATCGCTGAGAAAATTTTACATTTTGATTGCAAAACAAATTCTTTTTCTATCAAAACATTTTTTTTTCAGGCCAGGTGAGTGCATCCTTCAAGTTACTTTTACTCAAGTGTCAATGAAATAATTAGTGCCTCTAGAAAGTCGTTTGCAGAGACATTTATCACTCAGTGAAAAGGACTTCGAAAATATAGTGTAAGAATGACTTTTGAGCCAACCACTTGTGCTGTCCAAATAAAAACCGAATACTAGAACATTCACATGTTTTGAGGAAGGTCTGTTGGGTATGAACTAAGCAATAAGACTGAATTCTTACCTGTAATGTACATGAGTGACTGTTGGCTTCCGGTAGCCCAGAATCCAGGTTTGAATATCTATAGGCTCAGCTTTGGGATAAGCTATAGTTGTATCTATTATCCACTGGAGGCCTTTTGATTTGCTCTCTGAGAACAAAGAAAAAAATGACCTAAAATTGGGTCAATTTTTACATTACCTGCAGCAAAAAGCACAGTACAGATTACTTGAGCAGTATACAGCACACTGACATACTGTTGCGCTAAAAAACAGGATAAACTTTGGGTACTATTGTTCTACAACACATGGAGGATGAAATTAAGCATTTCTCAACATATTTCTCAATATATTTCTTATATATATTTCTTAATATTGATGAGCTGCAAAACAAAAAAACAGCACTATGATTTAGTGAACACACTACCATTTAAGTGTTCAATAAGTTAGGGACTATAAAAGTGCAATTTATATTTGTCACTCTAATTTTTTTTAAAAAAGGAGGCCTATGAGAAAGCCAGAAGCTAAAATATTACATCACAAAAATGGAAAACAGACTTCAAAACAAAAATCATTCTCTAAATTTAACATAAGACACTGAGATTTGCAATTCTTGCAAGATGTTAATAAATAATGGAGCATAGAAACAAACTTTAGCATTTTCACACACATTATTGTTAGTTGTTGCTCTTGTTTAAAAACAAAAGCATCCCCAATTTTAACGAGAGTTATATATACAAAAAAGCAAGTTACACCTTGCCGCCACACGGAGGCCCAGCAGGTAGTCCCATTGTGGAGTGGGGACAGAGAAGTGCTGTTTCGTTTGGCCCTTTGCAGTTTTTCAAATTTTGTTTTGTCATTTTTGATTTAGCTGAAAGGTAGAGAGATCTTCCATCTGTCGATTCACTCCCCAAATGCTTACTAACAAGCCAGGGCTGGGCCAGGCTGCAGCCAGGAGCCACGAGCCAGGAAAACCAGCCCAGATCTGCTATGTGGGCAGCAAGGACTCAGAGCAACCCCTGCTGCCCCTCAGTGTGTGCCTTAGCAGGAAGCTGGATTCAGAAGCTCAGCCAGACTTGACATGGGAACTGACATGTGAAACGGTTTTTATTCCCAGCACTGAGCACAAAGTCGAGCAAGAACTGAGAGGGGAATCTTCCCAGAGCATGTTCAGGGACAACTTTAAAGTGTAACTCTGCTGCTTTATAAGCCCAAATACACATTGGGAACCAGTGATAATTATTTTTATATGACAAATAATTGAAAAACGCCCTTTATCTCTTAAAAGATCTTAAAACAACATTCTGGAAAAAATATATAAAAAAGAAAAAACAAATAAAGGGCTCAGGGTTGGGATGTTCTCTGCACTGGAGCGCCTGGGGTTAAGTCCTGGCCTGGTCCAGGCCTGGCTTTCCTGCTAGTACACACCCTGCAAGGCACAGGGGGTGGCTCAGGTACTTGGGTCCTCAGTCACCCATGCGGGAGACTTGAAGGGGGGTCCTGGGTGCCCTTATAGCTCAGAGAAGGGTATCAGCGCTCACATTTTGGGATTCTCTTTCCAGGAACCTGCTACTAAGTCAGTGTTTTAAGAATTGGGCTCATGAGGGCCCGGTGCAGTAGCTTAGCAGCTGAAGTCCTCATGTTGAATGCACCAGGATCCCATATGTGTACTGGTTCTAACCCTGGTGACCCCACTTCCATCCAGCTTGCTGCTTGTGGCCTGGGAAAGCACTCGAGGATGGCCCAAAGCCTTGGCACCTTGCACCTGCATGGGAGACCCAGAACAGGACCGGGGCTCCTGGCTTCAGAATGGCTCAGCTCCAGCCATTTGGGGAGTGAATCATCTGACAGAATATGTTCCTCTCTGTCTCTCTTCCTCTCTGTATATCTGCCTTTCCAATAAAAATTAATGAAAATCTAAAAAACAAGAGTTGGAGTCATGAGCCCAGTGCAATAGTCTAGTGGCTAACGTCCTTGCCTTGCATCCACCAGGATCCCATATGGGGCTTGTATCCTAGCTGCTCCATTTCCCATCCAGCTCCCTTCTTGTGCCCTGGGAAAGCATTCCACGATGGCCCAAAGCCTTTGGACCCTGCACCTGCATGGGAAACCCAGAAGACGCTCCTGGCTGCTGGCTTCGGCTTGGTTCAGCTCTGGCCACTCAGGGAGTGTACCAGCTGACAAGGGATCCTTTTCTCTGTCTCTTCTTCTTTCTGTATATCTGCCTCTCAATAATAAAAATCAATAAATAAATCTTAAAAAAAAAAGACTTGGTGTCACATTATTATTATATTTCCCCTAACCCATTTACATTATAGCACAAGCATTTTTCCAAGTTAACAAATCTTCTCTATTGTATGGATATTACATAACTACTTATCTGTTCCCCCTCTGGCTATTTGATTTTTTTGCTATGGTAAATAACACTATGATAAGTTTCTTTGCTTATATTTCAGATTATTTCCCTTTGATAAGCATTATTTGCAGTGGAATAACCGAGTTATTTATTAACACTTGAAGGCTCTTAGTATTCTGACAACATTAAATTCTCAGCATTAAAAACAAGCAAAAACTTTCTATAGTTAACAAAACGAAAAATGACAAAACATTATCATTCACATGAAAAGGATGAGTTTTTCAAACAGGTCATTTCTACATCTCTATCTTTTAACTGATGATTCTACAGAAACAATTTCATAAATAATCACTTATAGAATGCTCCTGCAGCACTGAGAATATTCCAGAATGAGGTTAGGGTGAGGGAAAGACACGTTTGACTTGCAGCATTTGAATAATTATTACCATCATAAACTACCTGCATAAATAGAAACCTAAAAAATTATAGTTTAATATTGCCCCTAATTATTCCCTTTGTCAAATTTAAATAGATTTTAAAAAATAGTATCTTTTGGGCCCAGTGCGGTGGCGCAAGTGGTTAAGGTCCTCGCCTTGCACGCCCGGGATCCCATATGGGCGCCGGTTCTATCCCGGCAGCCCCGCTTCCCTTCCAGCTCCCTGCCTGTGGCCTGGGAAAGCAGTCAAGGACGGCCCAAAGCTTTGGGACCCTGCACCCGCGTGGGAGACCCGGAAGAGGTCCCTGGCTTCGGATCGGCATAGCATCGGCCATTGCGTTCACTTGGGGAGTGAATCATGGGACGGAAGATCCTCCTCTCTATCTCTCCTCTCTGTATATCTGCCTTTCCAATAAAAAAAAATAACAAAAATAAAAATCTTAAAAAAAAATAGTATCTTTTGGAACTCTTTTAATTGCAAAAACATAGAAAAATGCCAACAGTCACCATACCTAATTCTTTAGCATCTCCTCCTGCTGGACTTCCGTTTTCCTGCCGTGCTACCAGTGCACTCAGAATAATCTTTGTTGCACCAACCCTTGGCAGAGTGACATGAGTAAGAAACGGCAAGTTGTTCTTTTTGGCAAATGCCTGGCTTGTTTCTCGCCTCTTCCTCAGGAAGCCTCCTTCTGGAAACAAAACAATCCATTTCCGGTCTCTGCTCCTGTAGTTCTTCTCTAAGTGCTTCTTGAGAAGCAGCAGCTGTTGGTCCCGATAAGATCTTCCCTGGAAGGGACACACACATAGTAAGTACAGGTGCATCTGAAGGGCAATGCCACAAGAGTAGACAAGTCCCAGCTTCTCAGTCAAGACCCAATTCTAAAAAAACCCAAACACCCAAGGACATTAGCAATAATTATTTAGATAATTACTGTGCAGGAAAAGTACATTTTTCTGATTGCCCCTGAAAACAGACTCACTCATCAATTCACTCTTTACTATCATCTGCCAAGCACTGTTCTGGACACTTAGAGTAAACAAGAGACCTTCATGGACCTTCTAAGCTTGGAAGATGGTGAATATGGAGTGTAAGAATTAGTGAAGGGTCAAGAAGGACAATGCTTTAAAGGTCCCTTGAGGTGGGGACATCTGTGAAGGATGAAACCCAGTGGAGACAAGAGGCAGAATATCCCAAGCACCACAGTTTGAATGTTCCAAGAGCAGTACCGAGGACAGCATGGCTGAAGGGTGATGAGGCAGAGCCTCAGCAGTGAAAGATGGAACTGCAGAGGGAGGCTGATAGCAAATAGGGACCCTGTTCACAGGTCAGGCTTGTGGGTGTAAAGCCACTGGATTGCTTTGAACAAGGAAGTGCTACATTTTTACTTATATCTGAAAAATCTGCTGGTTCCTACAACAAAAAGATCCCATCAGTTAAGTCAGAAGACAAGTGCCACAGCACACACAGGAGGGTCTGCAGAGTACATTCAGAAAAGAATGAATGCAGAACAACATTTTGATGACCTGGAGGTTTGCTGTGAGCAAAGACAGGAAAGAGGATGACTTGCTGATTGCAAAAAGGAATCTGGAAAAATGTACAGGAAGACCCCAAACCTGTAACTCAACATCACTAAAGTTTCTCTTTTCTGTGCGATCAATTTGTTAATAATTTCCAGCCAATCAATTTATAGGGGTACCTTAGATAATCAGTGTGGAAAGCAAACAAGGCATTTTTTTTTCAGCTAGTTTACTGAACTAGACTGAGTATGGTTAAGGTAGACTAAAGTTTTCACATTCACAAGTAAACTATTTTTACTTGTCTTGGCGATCCTGTCAAAATGGTCTAGGAACAAAATGCCACAGTTTCTTCAGACTACCAGGATGAAAGGGGCTCCAGTTTTTGCACTGCATTCCCCCAGGCTACTAAACTTCCTAGTTGCTGGATCTGCTGTCTTCTCTGAGGTACCAGGCTCTGTGTGAGGCTGTTCTGACCATAGTCTATGACCAGCGGTCAATCTCCATTGCCACTTCTTTCTGAGCTTCCCACACATAGTTCTTTTTTTCTCTCTGGTTAGAAGAACCAAGGATGTTTCTAGAAATAATTAGACAACATAGCAGGTGAAAAACAAAGACAGGTTGTATACATGAAGCTGGAATAAAGCCCATGTGTTTTATGACATCCACTTTTGCAAATCTTACAAGCTTTTATACTTGTTTCCAGCTGCTTTTTGAATTTGTGGTTCTTAGAAAAGGCTTAATTAGATGTGAAGCTACTAATTGCTCATTATATGCAAAACACTACATTAACCAGGCTAAAGCTGCTAAATATACAAGCACAAAGTAAGCGTGGCATTACCACACATAAAAACTTAGACACATCAGGATCTGGCATTGTGGCATAATGAACAGTCACTATTTGCAAAGCTAATGTTGCATATGGGCACTTCTTTAAGTCCCAGTTGCTCCACTTCTGATCCAGCTCCCTGCTAATGTGCCCTAGAAGGAAGCACAGCTGTCCCGTGTCCTTGGCCCCTACCACCCAATGGGAGAGACTGGGAGCAAGCTCCTAGCTCCTAGCTTTGGCCTGGCCCAGCCCTGGCTGTTGTGACCATTTGAGAAGTGAACCAGTGGATGGAAAAATCTCCCTCTCTAACTTCAGTTTCCAAATAAATAAATAAAATATTAAAAAAAATACTCAAAACCTTTCACACATGTGAAAGGTTTCTATACCATGTACCTATTTGGGGACAGTGGTAGCCCACCAAGGACACATTTCAATGCAGTGTTGGCTTGCTCCGTGGCTATCATTCTCTTCCATGTACTGAACATTTCCTAACAGTGGGGACTTTTTCAATTCACCTTCATCTATCAAGCCTATACTCATTCTTTAAAATTTATGCTAAATATCCTCTTCTCTGAAGATTGTCCAGAGTCTCAGAAACCTGATGAATTCAATTTTTTAAATTCACTTTTCCAACAATGAATTCCCAAAATATTTCTGATTATGTTACATCTATTTAAATAATTTTCTTATTGCTAATTTAGATATCCTGTTTCACATAACAAGACCTTATAAATAAAAATAATAGTGTTAATATAGACAAGAATAATCATGATAAAATGATGACGTTGAGTAGCAGGCACTGTTGGAGGTTTCACATTATTACTTCATTTACAAGAACTGTCTCAGGGAAATACTATTTATAATTTTCACTTGAAAAATGAGGACACTTTGAACAGTAAGTAATCTGCCCAATTTACACAGCCAAGCAGAAAAAGAGCAGCGACTGTGGCAGGGCTAGATAAATGCTTACTAAATTCAACTGTACTTTCCAGATGGAAAGAAAGCAGAGATTAGAGTATCTGCATGATAACCACTTGACATATTCAAATTCAGACTGAAATAAATGTTTATGGAACAAAAATTCAGAGGAAGCATTCTCTGAGACACTGGATCTACTTAGAACTGGTCTTGCTTTGCCTCTTTTCATAATCAAGAATCAGTCTGACACGCTACCTCTGTGGGAAAAAAAAAGGTTCATCACTTACCTGTCTTATAAAGAAGTCTCCATGAATCAGAGAAACAATTCCAAAGTTTGTATATTTAAAAATATGATCCATCAACCACATCATTTGAGCAACAACCTAAAATATTTAAAAGCAAGAGATAAATGAGCGTTATATAAAACAAACCTGACTTTAGCCAAGTCTCCAAGTTCTAAATAAAATCATCCAACCACAACCAGGGTTATCCTAAGTTTCTTAAATCTAATGGCTTTTTCTAAAAAAAAAAAAAAAAAAAAAAAAAAATGCAATTACTAATGAAGACTGCCTGAAAAATTACTGGACCTGATTACAAGTCTTAGAATGCTAAGCCATCTGTACAAGCAAAGCTGAACTAGGTTCTTAAATCTGGACTTAAATGATTTCAAATTTGTTCTGCTCTAACCCAGGTCTGGCAGTTCTTATGCATAAAAAAAATCATTACAAAATCATCTCCAGCTAATCAAAGAGTTGTTACGGTTGTCAAATGAGGGCTATATGCTTTATTAATAAGCACTAAAACTTTATGAAATATAATTATGCCTTAATGGCTAAAATGTTAAAAGTTAATGTCAAAAATATTTTTAAAATCTTTCATAAATTCATTTTGTGAATTTATGCCAGCATAAAAATATGTTTAATGCCACAGTTCTTAAAATCAAAAACACACATTTATAGCAGGAGACTTTGTCACAAGCAAATTTTAAAATTAACAGTAAGTGAGAGCAAGATCTAATTAATGAATTGGTTAATTGTTCCTTCCTGCTGAGGAAGCAGCATTCCTTGTTATAAGCAAAGTCAAAGTGACAATCTCAGTCCAGCACGTGATGAGCACAACTGGTTTCTCACGGGAATGACAACGTAAACATCAGCTGTAAGCACCAAATTACACGGATTTAGAACAAGAAAAAATTCAACACTGATATGCTGCTTTTACAAAAGCACTCTCAAAGCCCACAAATATATAATGTTACAGCTTCCGCCTTAGTTTTTCCTCTAAGCTTTACTATATTAAATTACTTTAAAAAAAAATAAAAGCATGCCTAAGTGAACAACTCAGTTGCCAAGTTGAATTAAGAGTAAAATAACCCCAATCTCACCTTTCAATCCTTGTTTTGCTTTGCAAAGATCACTTTATTTAAATAAAAATGAATTTTGAAATAAATGGAGTTTATTAAAATGTGACCCCCCCCCCAAAAAAGTGGACCCAACCTGTAAAAATTTTTTTAAGGGGTCAGCATTGTGATACAGCAAGTTAAACCATTGCCTGAAATGTCAGCATCCCATTTGAGCACTAGATTGTGTCCTGAAAGCTCCACTTTCCATCTAGCTCCCCGTTAATATGCTTGGGACAGCAGCCGAATATGACCTAACTGTCTGGGTTCTTGCCGCCCACAGGCAGAGCCTGATGGAGTTTCTGATTCCTGGTTTTGGATTGGCCCAGCCCTGATCATTGTGGCAATTTGGGGGGTGAATCAGTGTTTTTTGATGAAAGATTGCTCTCTCTCTCTAATACTCTATGTAACCCCGCCTTTCAAAATATCCCTTAAAAAATTCCAACTTGATACATAGTATGATGTATAGTTGAGATGTATAAATCTCTAGGTGTTTACATAATTGGTATTTATGCTTAATCTTTATGAATTTCACTCTTAAGTTAGAATGGTCATTAAAACACCAAGTTTAGAGCTCGGCACAGTAGACTAGTGGCTAAAGTTCTTCCCTTGCATCTACTGGGTTCCCATATGGGTGCCAGTTCATGTCCCAGCTGCTCCACTTCCCATCCAGCTCCCTGCTGTGGCCTGGGAAGGCAGTAGAGGATGGCCCAAAGTCTTGGGACCCTGCACCCACATGGGAGACCTGGAAGAAGCTTTGGATCAGCTCAGCTCCGGCCATTGTGGCCACTTGGGGAGTGAATTAGCAGATGGAAGACCTTCCTCTCTGTCTCTCTTCCTCTCTGTAAATCTCTCTTTCCAATAAAAATAAATGCATCTTAAAACATGAAGTTCAGTAAGATTTCTGAACTAAATGCTGAGATTTGTGCTCAATTATTTTAGGTAAACTCTCACAAGTCAATATAAAGTGTTTTTTGTTTGTTTGTTTGTTTTTTGCTGTTGTTTTTTGTTTTTGTAGAAATACATGCTCTTAGCATTATTTTAAATCACTATAAAAGGACAAATTGCCTTATTTCAGTTACTTATTAAAAATACACCAATTGCCCATTTGGAAAGAAGTAGTCTGTCATCGTTTCACATTTCTGAATTAAAAACAAAGAAGGATCAGTAAACACACACTTCCTGAATTAATAGTTGGACACTTAGAACTTTATTTACTATCTCTGGCAGATAAACTCAGTGTACACAGCTGTTCATCTGGAAGCACAGACCTGACTATCTGGATGTCAATACCAAACAGACAGACTGCCATCATTTCTGCTTGAAACGACAGTGAGGGCAGTGGTTCTCCCTGGGATGAGGATGCAAATCTGGAAGGATCATTTTTGCTGTCACAATCACTAAGGCTGCTCCCAGCATTTAGCAGGTGGCAGACCACTACATAAAACACACAGCACTGTCCAGGACAATCCCCAAACAGCAATGTTGTGTTAGCAAAATGCCCGCCGTATCTCCACTGAGAACAGTGACTGGTGGTCCTGGGAGTCTCCTGAATTGAAAAAGCTATGTTATAATTATATTACCACAAGAGCAGTAGTTTTAAACTGGCTTAAAATTCAGCAAGTAAACATTCTTATTGTAAGTTATTGCTCTATAGTTAGTAGCAAATTTCTAGTAAGAGGCAGAGATTATCACGCCTCTACCATTGTTTTTATTATTTCTTTATGAGGGGATATTACAAAAAGCAAACTCTTGAAGAGCATTAAATGTTCAGTATGAACTAGCCTGAAAATACAAGCAACTCAGGACAATAAAACAATTGTGAACAAACTCAAAGTTATTTTACAAAGGCAAACAAAATATCCAAACTTCCTTTTGTCCACAACCTGGGTAAATTTCAGGTTACCTAACAGTCTGATTGACACAGCTAATATCTATACCAATCTGGATCAGGAAACAGGCATATTTACACTGACCATTTTAATCATTCCTTGAGTCAAAAACCCCATAACGACACTGTATTCCCTCAGATTAATTGATGTAAATGTAACTACTGTATCAGTGAGTTTAAAACTGTCAGACAACTGAGGATTATCTTTAATACAAGGACAAATAAAGTTGTTTTTAATAAAATGTAATATCATGAATTTATGGGACAAGTAAAATGTATTAAGTGCATTTTCTTTCATAGCCAAATAAGATGTTTTTATAAAATTTTAATATCATACCTTTATCGAACAGTTAAAATGTATCATCATAAATGCAAATATATCTATGCAATGATTAAACACTTCAATACATAAAGGATTGAATTTATTTCTCATTTTACCAAGATTATGTCTTTGCTTTTCAAATAAACAAACAAAAAACTCAGATTTGCAATAACAACAACATATTTTACTTTAATCTTCCCTTCTTTTTTACCCTACCCTGATCTGGTGAATCAAAATCTTCAGGACCTAATAAACTCACCCCACTCCTGCTCTCACCTGGTCCTGCCAGGATGGTTCCCCTCAAGCAAAGGACCTGCTCTTGTGCTCCTCCTGACTAAATCCTACTTTGTTTCAAGGCCAAGTTTAAGTCCTATCCTCTCCACAAAGCTTTCCTCCACCAGAGACCACTGCACAGGGCCTTGTAGTCCTCTTTGTACCATTCTAATTTTAGTATTTGTGCTGCCGAAGAGATCACAATTTGGTAAGTGATAAATTTACTTTTAACCTATTCTTAAATCTATTCATTTTGTTGATATAATTTATTATTTTTAAATTAATCTCTCTTTTAAAATAAATATTTGAAATACAGAGCATCAGAGAGGCAAAGAGAGATCTCCTACTTGCTGTTTCACTTCCCAAAGAGGCACAATGGTCCAGGCAGGGCCAGGTGGAAGCCAGGAGCCAGAAACTCCACCTGAGTCCCTCCTGCGGATTACAGGAGCCTTAGCCACCTTCCCTATAGCACATCAGCAGGGAGCTGGACTATATGCACAGCCAGAAGTCAAGCGAGCTCTCAGGGATGCTGACATCACCAGAGGCAGCCAAACCTGCTCATAGCAAAATGCTGACCCCTATTACTTTATTTTAGCTAGCAATCTAAGTAATGCAAAATCAACAGTCCAAACACAGCAAGACTGGGTAAAACAAATCTATTTTCTTTGAATCTACTTTGAAATTTAAAGTAATACTGATCTTACTTCTGCTGGCTAGAGATCTCCAAGATCACCTAATTCATTGATTAATTTTACAATGCTTCTTGAATTTCTGTTTCTGAAACTATAACCCACTACTTTGAACTGTAGTAACTTTGTGCTTCCAACCCAGTAGATATTTTTTAAGAACAGTTTTTGAGATAGAATTTCTATTACCCCAGGTATTTTTCTAATCTCTAAATCCCCCTCCTAGAGTGATTTACAATTAAATATGTACTGATATAGCTATCGATCCATATCTATAATATTTTTAAGATGTATACATAGACCTTTATTTTTCATATTTTCTAGGTATTCAGGAAAACAGTGCATGCTGAGTCCAAGCCTAGGCTCCTGCCATGGCCCCTCCCAGCACAGCCCTGCCATGGCCCCTCCCAGCACAGCCCTGCCGTGGCCCCTCCCAGCACAGCCCTGCCATGGCCCCTGCCCAGCACAGCCCTGCTGCCTTCGGGGTGGCTTACCAGGCCTTTGTCCTGCAGGCACATCATCAGCGTGCACACATCTCCTGTTGCTTGATGATTCACCAACATCACTGCTTCATCTTTTGAAATTGCTTTAATGTCCTCCCCCCATTCCATCACTGTAAGAAGAAAAAGGTTTAAAGCTGTCATTTAAAACATTTTTTTTATGACTAGAAGCCTTCTATGAACTGTTTACTTTCTATAAAATTATAATGTTGATAAACCATTTGATAGAGGACAAGGTAACATGCCATACCTATTTTCTAGGAATTTTCCTTCCTTGTACTTATCTCACAAAAACATTAGTTCAAATAGGCAAAGACAGATAAGGGAGCTTCAAAAATATCACGAAAAATAGAATTTTAAAAGCATGCAAATTTTCCATGAACTCTCTGAAGCCCATTTCCATATACATATATGTGTGTGTATATGTTATTTATTACAACTTAAATGTTTATGAACAGAGAAATGGATTAGAAATTTATGATAAAGAGTATAGAAATCTATGAAAAGAATAGAGGGTATCTTTAATCACTAATCCAAAAGACATTGCCAAACAATAGTAACAGTACCCAGAGCAGGATTCTATCCTTTAGAGAAGCAATACTATTTGTTATATTTGAGGCACTGACAAAAGTCTGTGCAATGGACAGCAAACTATCCATACTTATCATCACTGGAAGGGGGTTCTCAAACCCTCAAAGTCTACTGTAGAAGGAAACATTCAAGCATGACAAACGTGTTTGAGTATCTTCACCTTAAGACAGTTAAGTTTCTTTCAACTTTTAAAATTTCATGATACTGAAGCCTGTATATATATATATGCATATATATATATCATTATATATATATAATGAGGAAGGCAGTGTTTTCTATGTTTGTATGCCTCATCTTATTGTAAATTCATTTGACAGCAAAATAAATAAATAAAATAAATAAATAAATAAATAAATAAATAAAGCACTTGCTTTCAAATACCAGTGTTCTACAAAGCAGCTGCTAGGGTCTCTCAAATACCTGGCATGAACTATCAGAGGTTAAACATACATGAGCACCAACTTTTATCTGTCCCCACCCAACTCCTTGTTAGAAGTCGTGCCTCCTGCATTCAAAAGCTCCAGATGCCATGGGGGCTGGGAGCCACATGTTTCACCTCTCCTCGCCTGCCTCCTTCCCCAGTCAGTCCTGTCACCCCAACATACAGAACCTCCTGGCAACAGTGCAGCTCCTCAAGAGTTCATCTGACATTTGACCTCTTAAAGGTTCTGAGCTTTTCTTTCCATTAAAGCTCACTTAACCAAGGTACCTAATTCTTTATTTTCTTTATTTAAAAGATTCATTTATCTGACAGGTGGAGTGACACAGAGGAAGAGACAACATCTTTTTCATCTGCTGGTTCATTTTTCAGATGGCTGCAACAGCCAGGGTTGGGCTGGGATTTCCATCCAGGTATCCCTCAGGTGGCAGGGGCCCAAGCACTTAAACAGACACCCACTGCCTTCTCAGGCACTTTAGCAGGGATCTGGTTTGGAAGCGGAGCAGCAGCACACAAACCAGCACTGCAATATGGGATGCTGGAGTCCCACCTGCTGTGCCACAATGTTGTTCCCATTCATTCATTTTGAAAATTGTAACAGTTTATAATAAGGAAATTCCAGCAGTGCTGAGCATTTAAATTGTAATACCTATTGCAAGGTGAGGAATTCTAATCACTCTATCACATTATTGTTACTATTCCAATGACAATGTTGATGAAAAAGGTTTTTACTTAAAAGTTAAAATCCACCAGGGATTAGCCAAATGCTAATTTAGGAACAGAAATAGAACGCTGGACAGCCAGCTGTGGCAGCACCAGCTCCTTTGAGTTTGCTCTGGCCAAGCTCCTGGATCAGCTCAGCTGACAAGCTAACTCAACTCAAACATATATAAAGTTTTTCATTTGCTGGAGGAAGCATAAATTGATACAATCTTTCAGGAAGTCAATCCGTACTAAATGTCAAAATTCAGAAATGCACCAAACCTTCCCCCATGAAACAATGAATTTGTAGGATGAATTTCCATTTTTGAGAATTCATCCTACAAGATGCACTCACATGTGTACAAAATGACACGTATTGAGGAGATTTACTAACACTCTGCACAAGCAAAGATGAAAATACCTTAAAACCAGAAATAGCTCAAATTCACAGAAACAGTGGAATGATGGGTGGCAGTGGGTGGTCAGGGGGAACTCACTGTCTAATCAGTACAGTTGCTCCTTGGCATCATGGAGTGTCAAAACACATGGATACTAAGTAGCCTATGTATAACATGTAGAGCATGCACACAGACTCAATGTGCAGCTTCCTGTATACTACAAGTCATCTTCAGCTTACTTATAATTCAGAATATAATACAAATGTCGTATAAATAGTTGCTTTTTTGTATTACTTAGGAAATCATCAAGAAAAGATCTCTATATGTTCAGACAAACCTAACTGTTTCTGAATATTTGTGCCGGTTGAACACTTCCGTGGTTGATTCTACAAGTGCCGAACCCACAAGGATGAAGGGCCAGCTGTACAGCTTCACTCTGGCAAAATGAGAAGTTTTACAGCTCTACAGCTCCGTTCCACAATAATATGAAGTATTTACAATACTAACGTGTACACTTACTTTTTGCTGTATATATAATTTAAAAAGATGAAAAGGTAGAGAATAAATAAATTATGATTTTAAGTAACTAAATAAATTATGATTTATCTAAGCAATGGTGCAACCACAGAATTTACATATTAATAACAAATGATATACTATAAGCAATAAATCCATAGTGTGAATGAGTCCATAAGTTACATTTAAAAAACAGTACATAACATAATTACTAAATGAAAACTCCCATATCGTAGTCTTGCTATGGCCTTTCATAGACACACACAACTCGGGTACTGTTGGGTGCTGCAGATGCACAATAAATAACACTGGCAGCACTATTCTACATTGAATAGAGGGGGGCTGCTTGAGAAAATTCTAGCTTGGTTCTATAAATACCAACTAAGAGTGATGTGAAAAGCCTTCTGCCTCCATATCTATACAAACAGATGTTTCATAACTGATGCTTCCTTCAGTGGAATCTCTGTCAAAGGCATGGAAGAATATAGATACTTCATGGCCCTGCAATGGGAAGGCATATATGTGAATAAAACTGCAAGTAGCAACTAGGGATCTTAGAGATTTATTTATTAATTTGAAGGTAGAGGTACAAAAAGAGAAGGAGGAAGACAGGTATCTTCCCTCTCCAGGGGCACTCCCCAAATGGCTGCAACGGTCGGGCCTGAGCCAAGCCAAAGTCAAGTGCCTGAAACTCCACCTGGGTCTCTACGCAGTTGACAGGGGCCCAGGTACTTGGACCATGTTCCATTGCTTTCTCAGGCTCCTTAGCAGGGAGCTGGATCAGAAGTGGAACAGATGGGACCCCTCTGTGATTCCTGTATTTCAGGCAGCAGCTTAACTGACTATGCCACAATGGCAATCTCCCAAAATAATCTTTTAACATAAAATGCAGCTTATCTGTATATTTGATATGAACTATACAATAAAATTAAATGTCAAAATCCAAGTTGAATTTGGATCCCTCCAAGTTGAACTGTGTGCCCCTAACTCTGTACCCCTGTGTATCTGCCTAGAATCTGTAAATTAAGATGGCACTGGATTAGGTTCAGTTTCTTGCTTTCTCACTCTTGCCTTCTCTCATCCACCTCCTACTTGAGAGACATGGGATGATGTGGCCTGAAGGCCAAGCCTAGGATGACTGGAATCCTTGCAGAAGGGGAGAATCTGGACATGGGCACACAGAGAAGCCAGGTGACTTTACAGAGACCGGAGTGACACACCTGCAACCTTCAGAACAGCATGGCTCTTTAACACCTTCATTTCAGATTTCTAACCTCTGGAACTGTGAAGACTAGAGCCCTGTGTTGGAAGCCAGCCAGTTCATGAACTATGTATGGCAGCCCTAAGAAATTAATGCAACTACCCCAGCTTTCACCATACTCTCTCCCCTTTGTGCTCCACTTCTCCCAAAGTTATAATACTTTTGTCTTATCAGATATAGGAAAACATTATTCTTTTCAATATCTAGAAGACTTTAATAGATATCTAACATGTATTATAAATGGTTCAGTGCTTACTTCTAAAGATTTTCAAAGCATAATCATTAAGAGTTAATACAACATGCTTTGAGACTCAACCAGAACTAATCAAATCATTCTCAGAATAAATATCAATTTATCAAGGGCCAGGCACATACCAAACAAAGCAGCAAGGTAAATGGATGGACTTTATTGAATTTTATAATATCCAACTTTTATTCGACAACAAATTTCATTTCCTACATATGGTATTTTTCCAAGGATCCTTGTTGGAAAACTAAATGACTGACAAAAATCCAAGCTTTAAAATGTAGGCAAAGAACTACTTATATTATGCATGAACTAGCTATAGTCTCCAAACCACAGCCAACTATCACAGGATTGGTAAACACAATCATAATAAAACTAAGATTGGTGTTTGGTCTGGCAGTTGGGAAGCTCATTCACAGGCCTGCTTCCCTCATGGCAGTACCGGGGTTGAACACACCCCTCAGGTCCTGACTCCATCTTCCTGCCACTGCAGACCCTAAGAGGCGGTGGTGATGGCTCCAAGGATTGGGTTCCTGCCACCTGCTTGGGAGATGAGGATTGAGTTCCTGACTCCTGGCTTCAGCTTTAGTGTCACTGGGCATTTGGGGAATGAACTAACAGATGGGAGCTCTCTCTGTCACTGCCTCTCTTCCTCTCAGCCTTTCAAGCAAATTAATTTTTAAAAAGGACTTTTTAAAAAAGCTAGTATCTTAACCAATTCACATATTAAAAAACAGAAGCTATGGATGCCTGCCAGTTCTTACATTGCACTTGATTAAAAGAACAAAAATATTCTAACACACTGTTCCGTAAAGTGAATTCTCAAAAAAAGAACTGGGTCAGATTCACTATTTTCAAAGGGAATGAAGGGCAACTGAATAAAAATGGGAGGAAAAATGTTCTAGTGACAATGACTTTTAAAAATTCTTTTTACAAACAAAAACTAAAGATAATCACCT